GATCAAATGTTACCTATAGTTTTGTATGATGATCACATGTTACCCGTAGTCTCATATGACGATCACCTGTTACCAGTACTTCCATATGACGATCACATGAATGTTATCTGTGTTTTCATTTGACGATCACATGTTAGCGTTAGCATTGTGGGTTTTATTTTGAAAAAAATAAAATAATGATCAGTTAGATGAGTTTCTTCCCGTTACATGGATATAAAACACTCATAGTTTATTAAATGAACATGCCCTCAGACACTGTTTCCTGCAACATGTTGCGGCAGTGCCCCGGTACCGGGGTCTTTCGGGCTTAACAGGTTAAAGAGCCCCAAAATAAAATGTAAAACACATACTATATTAATGTGTTTTATAAAGGCTTATCTGCATCTCAACTCCATCCATCAGACACCTGATCCGTCCTCTGGAGGACCAAACCGCAGAAGTAGAACGAGAAGGAGAAGGACAAAAAGGAAAGGAGCTTCAATACTTCCTTCATCACCTCCTTTAGGAAACACTGGACCTTCTTTTAGGAAAGGAAAGCAGAGATGCTGTCCAACAATGCCTTGCGGCAACATTCGGCCATTCACGGATACAAGCGATCGTGACGAGAACTGATATCACTTATTCAGCGTTAAACAACCTATAAAGGGCTTTCTTTGAGCATCACTATAAGAACCAATAGGAGAAATATGAACTCCAACAAAGTCTCTGTTTTATAATAACTACAATTATGAATGGAGGCTTGTGGCGCAGTGTATAGTGCCTTGGTGTTCCGATCAGGGGAGCACAGGTTCAAACCCCACTGCAGTCAGCATGTCGTTGTGTCCCTGAGACACTTCACCCCAAATTGCTCCTGTGAGGATTGTCCACAGAATTGAGTATGGAAGTCGCTTTGGATAAAAGCGTATAACAAGTGACATGTAATTAATACGTTTCACTTTACTCTTTTATTTCAGCTCCTGATGACGACCCTCTGACAGGAAGTTATTAAACTCTGATGATGATTAAGACGAGTATCATCTTTAAGTGTGTGTGTGTGTGTGTGGTAAACCCTCCTCGTCTTTATCGTATGTGAAATGTTTCCTTTTGTGTGTGAGACGGAGCTCTGCACACACACACTCACACACATATTTGCATTTAAATAGCGACATCACCAGCGTTCTCGGCGGAACACCGGCGGGTTTCCAAGATGTCACAGCAAAGTCAGATGGGCCAGCTGTCACACACACACACACACACACACACACACACACACACACACACACACACACACACACACACACACACACACACACACACACACACACACACACACACACAGGGTTTAAACGCTGCTGTAGTTTAAACTGAGTGAATTCATGTTTTTAAGTCAGCTGTGTGTGTGTGTGTCTCACCTGGTCATAATCTCAGTATTTAAACAGCACTCCCCCCCCCTCGTTACCTGTGGGCTGTCAGCAAATAGGAAATCCCGACAGGTTAAAGACAAAGCACTGTAACAGGAACTGAGTCTCATGAAGCTGCAATAATAATAATAATAATAATAATAATAATAATAATTAAAGTCTCTGATTTAAAACTCATTATTAATTATTATCTGAGTTTTTTTATTTTATTTTTTTATTCTACTAAAATCATACAAAAACGTATAATTCATACACACAAATGAACAAAATGAGTAGAAGCGGGAGGGTTGAAGCATAGCATATGGGGAGTAGCCCTCCCGTGCATCATCATTAGCATCAATATAACAATGCATTTATTTTGTCAAAAACGTATAGAAATTAAGGAGTACAAAGAAATAAAGAAAACTAATGAAAACTGGAAACAAATAAAATAAAAGTTAGGGCAAGAAAAAAGTAAATGTATATATAAGTAATACTGCCTGTCCTCCTACAAAAAACAACCAAATAGGTCGATTGTTTAAGCAGCTTAGATTACGACCCATAGCCACGTTTTAAAGTGTAGCACCTCTAGTGGTCGTGTAAGAAACAACATGCCCCCATTTATTCACAAATAATCCTCTCTGGAAAATCCTAAATTGTAGAATAGTTTAGCTATTAAAATGCTTTTTGATTAGATTTCTGGCGAGAAGTGTATATTGTACTCTTAGAATCCACGTCCAGTCGATGTGTAGGATCTATGGTTTGATAGATATTATGAAGATGATCTGAGGTCTCGTCAGGATAACGTGTGTGCAGCTTCCATGTAAAGTTACTGTGGGTGAAAACAGTTTTTCCGGTCTCGAAGTTTTCATAATAAAACCGGATATATTCCCCTCACTGTCAGATGATTACACAGTGATATCTGCATTACTCATCCACTAAGAAACATCAGTTTATCCTTAATTACACAATATTGATTGGTTTAAATTGTGTACAATGCTTTTGTGATTTTAACCTTTGATTCAGAGAAA